ATTAATATCATCTTATATAGTGCAGAAAAATGTTTGAAATTTGCATTTTACTTGGCCTTCAACAAGTTGGCATCTATTTGTAAAACTTTCCTTAACTATAAAAAGCCAATTTACGAATGAAATGTTCATTTCAAATTTTTGTTTCAAACATTACAAGTGGTGAATATATATATATCTTACTTTGCGAAGCGATAGCATATATATATATATATATATATATATATATATATATATATATATATATATATATTGTGTGTGTGTTTTGGTAAAAGCTAACTTGATACAGAAACACAACAACAATAAAACTATTAGTTAAAATATGTCGTTATACTCAGAGATATAACATACGTACATATGCATATTAAATCTGATCTTCCATCGTTTTACTGACAGAAAATCTGTTACTTCCTTCTTAGTATTTCTTGAGTACTTCCTTGGTCTTGGTGTTTAAAATGTCTTCATACATGGGTCCGTCGATCGAATGAGACATCTCCGGAGTTATTTTTTTCTCTCCTAGAATATAAAATAGAACATCAACAAACTGCCCTTGGAAAAATATTTGCATTGAGAAAGAGTAAAGAAAAATCAGAATCGAATTTGAATTTCTTTCACAGAGCAAAGCAAGGCGAAGGAGTGTTTTTTGTCATACAAACAAAACAAAGTATTCATCACGTGATTGCATTGTCACCAAGTCTAACGTTTATTAAAGACGGCTTCCATTCATTAGAAAAAATACTTTCATGAAATGTTTGCTTTTCCAAACTAAACTCCCTCACAACAGCACGAACCAAGACATAATTCAATAGTGTTGGAATTTAGTCTATAAAATATGTTTCAGGCGTCAGCCAGCAAAGTTTTCGTGACGTCAAACTATATTTGGTTTGCAACGAGCAGTGGTCCTTTGCTTTGTGTTGTGCTGTTTCGTTTTCGATTTTCGTTATTTTTGTTTCTTTTTTCTTTTTTAGAAAATAAGCCAGTAAATTTGAAAACTAAATTTGAACTCTGAAAATATGCGAACTCGTGACTAAAATAGGGGAAAAAATACAAAATTGCTTTCAGTTTTATTTCAGGTCGTGATAGTGGAGTTATCCATGGAGTCGAAAATTTATGAAGATGGGAAAAAAAGTGTTTGTCGATTTCATTGCATTGTTTGCAATATTGATCAATCCAGCTGAACACGCAGTACAAGTTTTACCAGAAATATGTTGTGTTATTTCGTCTTCCTTGTAGAACGAAGTGTTAGAAACAAGCAAAATAAATAAATAAATAAATACGGAATTAAATATTATAGACGCAAATATATTCGAAGAAAAATTTACATGTACATATGGACATTTTTCGACAGCGTGGACGGATATTAGACAATAATGCACGATTTTTCATAAAATTATTTTCATTTTGGCTTGGATCAAAAAGATAATATTTAAACGGCTGGCATGATCCTCTGATGTTTCATTAAACAAGGGTGTACATCAACAATTGTCGATTTAATTTTTTTAAATAATATGGCCATTCTTCCTACATGATTCGATTTTAAATCTCTAAATAGCATCTCAAAGTTTATTGGGGTTACTATTTACTAGCAGGCTTGAGGGTACGTTATTTTCCCGAGTATTTGATAATAAATCTTGAAGAACAATACAAAGACAGTATTATGTTGAGTGTTTTATTTTCGTAGAGCTAGACTCCAGTCATTTACTCACCGACGTGTCTTCACTCTGTCTTTTCTTTAATTATTTTCATGGCAACATCTCTGACATGTTTTATTCCTTAGTGCCCCGACTACATGAATTTCATCGTGCTATTAGGTTGAGATCTAGGCCTCAATCGTTTTGAACTAGCTAAATGCAACCCCCGACTTCTACTTCAAAAGTCCCTTGCGTTTCAAGCCTGTGGAACTCCATTCCTCTTATTTGCTAACCTGATAACTACAATCTTCAAAGATTTAAATAAAACCTCAATCGATATATTTTGTCTTGTATCCCGTTCATTTTTTGTCCTATTCTCAATCATCACTAGACTCAGTCTTTCCTTTCCGTTTCACTCCTTGTAAACACCTGCGTACTAGTGGACCTTTAGCCTTGTTTGCGGGTGATATTCAAAATAAAAGTTGCAATTTGATGCAAAGTATATATAACTCTGAATAAGTGTGAATGGAATGCTTTACAGTGGTTTATGCTTTTAAAAAGAATTACATTTAAATGTCTAATATCTGCTTTATTCTTATTTTTTATTATTTTTTGAAACCTGAAAGCATTAAATATTATTTTCCTAAATTCTGTATATAACCGAAATGAAATTAATTATACAGTCTCTTCTTTAAAGACAATTTTCTCGTGTTGTGATCGTTTTCGATTTATATCGTAGAAATTTAGATTCAGATTCTTAAGCATTCTCTGTCATATTGGAGGATTGATAGTATATAATAATTCAGTACATTTTTTTCTTTGATTCTAAAGAAATGTTACTGTTTCTTAATACGTGGCTTAGCTTTCGAAAGGCCAGTTTCGCTGTCCAAACACCTCTTCGGATTTCTGTGTCGCACTTTCCATCCTCTTTTAAAACACTTCCCAGATATTTCAATTGTTGACAATTGTTTGATTTTGGTATCTCCGATTTTCAATTTGCATTTTGGCCTGATCCTTTTGCTAACAACTATGCATTCCTTCTTCTTACAATTCTTATCACTCTCCTTCAGTGTCTCATGTAAGAGTTACTGTAATTTCTTTTCTGTGTCTGCTATGAACACCATATATATATATATATATATATATATATATATATATATATATATATATATATATATGAGAGAGAGAAAGAGAGATGAGTAAGTGAGAGAAGAATTTTGTTTTCAGATTCATTTGCAGTTTGGAAATATATTTGATTTTTATTCTTTTTGAACGAACTAGATAGCTACGACGATACAAGGAAAACTTCAAAAGTAACACAAATGGATTGCTTGTATAATGCTGAGCATTCCTGGGACATTCTTATTATCTGATATTGCTCGAACCAAAACAGGTCAGCATTTTTTATTCACTTTTTATTTATTTATTTATGCACTTCTGTACGTGAAAGTAAAATACTTGGGATATTATAAAATAAGGTTAATAAACTTAAGCAATTGATGTGAATTTGTAATCCTGGGTTTCACGCTTTTCCCATCGTCAGACAAACTGATTAATTATTTATTACCAGAATTTATACCAAACGGATAAAAAACAACAAAAATTACTCTTTAGTTCAAGCTACCATCACAATAATTACATTTATTGTTATTATCATTCTCCCTCCACCATTACTAATCACTACTACCAATTTAGAATAACTATTATCATTGCCACCAATAGCCCCGACACCATTACTACCACATCACATCTACTATTATTATATAAACCCGCTATAATTATTCACGTAAACTACTCCCCACTCTCCCAGCATATTTTATACCACCATATAAAATCCAATAACAATTTCAAACTGAAATTTCTACCAGTTACGTATACGCAGTCATCAAAAATAAGCAAACAGCCAGCTTTAAAATAATAACAAATCAGCCTTAAAAAATTAAAAATAATAGCAATTTTTACCTATAATAATTTTACACAGACCACATCACACGTATATAGGTGCATGCGAGAAAATATTATTCAGCGAAAGAATAGAAAAATGGTCTGATTGCTGACATTCACGAGAAATCTTCGCCACACTTCCGAGCTTTGAATTTCAACATACAAATGCGTATGAATATAGACAACAGCACACATATACATACATATGTCAAATTCCATACTGTCCACATATGTTTATGTTTGTATTAGACCCGGCGGGCAAGCGAGTGTGAACGTGTGTCTAGATACCTCAACAGGTGTACGGACATGCATCTATGCTTGCGTTAACATGAGTTACATCACGAAGACGTGTTCCCCCTCCACACTTCCATAATAACACCAATACAGGCAATCTACATAAATCCAAAATTTAAAAAAAATTAAGCAGTTTGTCTGACGATCGCAAAAGCGTGAAATCCAAGGTCACAAATTCACATCAATCCAATCAAATATGTTAGCTCTATCTCTGATATTGAACGCTTTCTAAAAAGTACCGCGCATATATATATATATATATATATATATATATATATATATATATATATATATATATATATGTTTGTTTTTTTTTGTATACACACACTTTTCACATATATATATATATATATATATATGTACACATATATATTCAGATAATAAGAAAGAGTAACCAGATTTATAATCCAGAATACTTTAGCATTTATTTTTACACTATTTACAATATTCGGAACAAAAAGATCTGAGCTCGTTTTCAAATGCAGACAATAAAAGCAAAATCCTACCACGCCACCTATAACCACATGACTACAGAGGTGACTAAGCAACAAACAACTCATAAATCTAATAAAATTTATTTCAAATGCGAATTATTCGAACTGAAGAAAATATCAAATAACTAAATACGATCATTAGATAAAATAATAAACAAATGAGATTAAGTAAGTCTAATGCAAAATGTAAAACAATAGACTATTAATAAAATAAACTTTATTTGTGCTCTATAATTAATCTAATATATTAACCCGAGGCATACAAATGGGAAAACATGATCAACTTCTTCCACTTACCATAAAACTCCAGCAACAAATACACCAAACACAGACATGGTCACGAAACTGCAAATAACCCAACGTATATATATATGTATGAAGAGTGATATGTAGATAGATGGATAGACATACCGATATTAAAAACTGAGATATAGGCTGATATATTCTCGTAAAACAAGTCTAAGGATTTCGCTCCAAATGCGCTACTTTTAATAATTTGGACAAGCTAAGTTAAACTTGATACATATTGGACATTAACTACGTTTGATAAATTTTATATATTTTAAACTTTACACTAGTATTTTTTGTGTTTTTACTTGTAAAATCAAATATCACTTTTTCTCTCAGCGAATGGCCGCATCACGTTGAAACACCGGTTTCCATACAATCATCGAAGTTAAGCAACGTTGAACCTGGTCAGTACTTGGATTGCTGTCCGCTTGGGAATACCAGGTGCAGTATCCTTGGATGTGCGAATGGTGTAACGGATAACATCTTTTTAAACTAGGAACTGAGTTCCAATTCCTACTGAGTACGTTTTATTCAGTTACGCGCAAATACACTTGGGAAAGGTCTGAATCTTTCTCTTCTCTACCCAGCTATGGGTTAATGAGTAAACTTGTATCATTAAATCATTACTATCTGAACATTTTACAATCTAGAAATTGTTGCAGATATTAAATTACATGCAAAGTGTAAAAAAAAAAAAAAAAAGAAACGAACCAATCAGTCAAGAGAATTCCTTTTATCGTGGCTCACCTATGATAATTGTAGCAAAGATATTTTCTAAAATAGAAAGAAGGCGGACGATGAAAAGAAATAAGCGGCTTTTAATAAAAACTAAAAGGCCTAACAAAATTTTTAAATAACGTATTTTATAAAATCATAGTTCATTACAATTTAATACTTTTCATTAGAATTTGACATTGATTTGCATATTAAACTAACAAAAATGTCAAAATATTCTTTCTAATTCTACCTGTCTCTTATACGGCCTCTGATCTTTCGATCACGTGCGGTGTTAATGCTCATTTTCGGAACTTCATAAAACAAGTCACCTGGGAATTAAATTTGGTTTCATCGTCGCAGAACATAGAAGTCAGTCGTCATCGTTTTTTGATAAGAAAATCATTTGCTTGTCTTTCGGGCAAGAATGTTTATAACGAAGAACTATTTTTTATATTCGGTTTTACGATTGTAAAGACATTTCCATTCTGAATCTGTTTCACCGAAAGCGGAGATAAAACATAGAAGTACCTCCTGGTCAAATATTTCCATGAGGTGATTATTTTATTTGCAAACTCATAGATTACACTGACTGTGCTGCAAAAAATATAAATTAAAACTCTTGGTAAGATGTAAACTTTTCAAAAGACCAGGCGATGATTTAATTCCCTTCTTAGTTGGAAAATGCAACGTCTGTCTTGGATCGAAATGGACACACGCAAGATAGTGGTAAACGGAAATACTTTAAGCACTACAATGAGAATAAAAATAATAAATCGTTCAAGAGAAAAAAAAAACGCCAAAAAAAGGAAAAGAAAATAGAATAAAACACTTATTCTATTCAATTGGTGGCAATTTCCTTAAAATACCGGCTGGAAGCTAAATTCATTTAAGTGCGTGAACCGCTCTTAAATAATAAATTGCCCAGCAATAAATTGGCGATTTAGAGCTGTAAAAATATTTCTAGTTCATTTTATTTTTTTGGCATAATTGCTAAACGGCCTGCAAAAATGGCGGAAATTCATGAGTTTGGCTCGGTGATCAGAAAAAAAGGAAGATTGCTTGTAAGATCGGGGGTTCAAAACAAGATACCGAACTTGTGATTCTCTTGAAAATATAGGGAAATATTTTTGTACAGATATTTAAACTTGATCTTCAAAATTGTGTTGCTTAGATTAGGCGACTTGATCGTATAACGTGTTTGTCCTTGCTGAGTAATTTCATATCAAATTTTGTATGTGGCACCTAGTGAGGATCGAACGAACTTCACAGGAGCAATGGTTAACCTAGCTAAGAATTACATCATGCCGAAAGGATTAAGAGAGTTGATTTTATGAAATGTTAGCTCTTCTTGAGGTATTTAATATCAAATTTTATCAGAGGTACTCACTTAGGATCAAACATACTCCACATCGTGTAATGGTTACGAGCATTGGTCTTGTTAACATTACACCTAGTGAATAACTTTAGGATATTTGATTTTATAAAATGTCTGCTCTTTTTAGATTATGTAATGCCGAAATGGTGAACACAGTAAGTATGGAAGTCGCTTATCAGTAATCATGGTGAAGCAAACAATACTTTCTTATCATTAAACTAACGATAGAAGTTTACGATAGTTCTTTTAGGCCTCGTTGCGTTATTCAATTTCCAATTCCGTATCGAGTGCCAAGCGCGAATCGAATTCACTACTAAGTGGTAATATTAAAAACAGATTAAATTTGCTAACCATTATGCATGCCAAGAATTTTAGGTTTGTTGATTCTATGACATGTCAGCTCTTGTTTGTTTATTTATTGTCGAATAATATATGGGCAAATTAGTGAGAATCGAACGCACGAACGGTCAGCCGAAATAGGGTCCCTATGCACAGGCCCAGGCTAAAGCATCTACAGATATGTTAGAGTGTGACATAAAATACTTGGCATATCCGATATTTATTTGGGCACCTCGAGGCGGTGTAATGGTTAGCAAGCTTGGCTCGCTAGAACAATTACGACTGAGTCATGAGTCCTATCCTCAATGAGTGCCCCCTAATTTCGGCCTTGTGCCACATCTAAGCTACGCTTGGAAAATCACTATTTAACCTCTCTTTTGGGGCACCTCGAGGCGGTGTAAAGGTTAGCAAGCTTGGCTCGCTAGAACAATTACGACTGAGTAGTGAGTTCGATCCTCACTGGGTACTCCCTAATTTCGGCCTTGTGCCACATCTAAGCTACGCTTGGAAAATCCCTTTGGGCACCTCGAGGTGGTGTAATGGTTAGGAAGCTTGTCTCGCTAGAACAATTACGACTGAGTAGTGAGTTCGATTCTCACTGGGTGCCCCCTACTTTTGCCCTTTTGCCACATCTAAGATACGCTTGGAAAATCATTGTCCTATATTTATTTTTGAATATGGTGTTGCAGGTTTTCTGCTTAGGAATTACTGTTATCTTCGTTGCTTGATTTCTTTTTAAATGCATATCAACTTCTCTTTAGTATTTAAGGACGGAATCGAAATATCCCATCCACAAATTTATGCTTTCAGCTACGTATACCTTCTACATAATTCCATACTCTAGGGCAGTTTTTTTTAAACTTTTACAGTCCATGGACCATTTTTCTTTCTTTTTATTTTTTTAAGCGTTTCACCCCAAGCAAGGCAAGAAGCCACTAGGACGCAAGGGGTTACATAAGATTTGGAGCAAGATCAGATAGGAGTGATAGAGGAAAGGATGAGGTGAAGAATAGTAGATAGATCAAGGCAACTGGAGATGTCGATTGACATTACTTTTCAATAGTTGGAGATTATAGCTTTATTTTCTTTTAATTTTAGGCTGTTCAATTTTCACACTAAAATACTCAATGAAAAGGCATTTTAAAATTTATTTTAGTAAACAAGGATAAATACAGGACACCAACATCAATTTTGATGGTGTCATTCAGTCTTAGTCCATTCTGCTAGTGACTACTTGGCGTTTCTAACACAAGATATCATAATCAAATTCGATGGTGTCATTCAGTCTTAGTCTGATAGGTCCTCTACGGTTGAGATCTAATATTAAATTACATGCAAAGCGTGAAAGAAACGAGCCAATCAGTCAAGTGAATCCCTTTATTGTGACTCGCGTATGATAATTGTAGCAAAATATATTTTCTAAATTACAAAGATGGCGGATGATGAAAAATAAGCGGCTTCTAATAATAAAAAAAATAACAGGCCTAACAATTTTTTTCATATTTATATAAAATCATAGTCAAATAAAATTTAAATAAATTGCATTAGTACGTTTGCATAAAACTCTTTCTTGCATGTAAATCTAACTTTCGTCCGTGAATTGAATAATGTTGCCATATGCAGTTTTTGCTGAATATCTAGGGATTCTTGACAAAATTCAAACATGGGTTTCCAATGTAATTCTCGACTTTACCCACATTCTCACTCACATGTCGTACTTTTCTTCTGTATTTTCTACAAAGAATTTCAGGGAAACTGTTGTGAACAGCGGTAATCCTCGGCGCTTTGACTGCATGAATATAAGCAAGCTACTAGATTGGCAACTAGATCTACTGTTCAACTAGATAGATGCATCTAGGTTAATCGTTTTTGCTTTTTGGTCCATGTGCCTCTTTAACATATAACTCTCTTCTGGGTGTGTTACACCACTATTCTCAATTATCGATTGACATCTCAATAAAATATCGATCTACTGTAACTAATAGCGCAACAAAATTAATATCTCCTTTTCAAATTTAGTCAAGAAGTATTTTCCAGATAGTCAACCATGAGGTCAGTTAAAAAGATTTTCTCCGTCCCCATCCTCGTCATTTTCAACTAATTGATTCGTGTTGTGTTTATAAATACGGATAATTATAGTATTGGCTGGTAGGCCTGGCTTGTTGGCTTGTTTGGGGAAGAAGCTTCTGCTGGTGAGGGTTACATGCCAGAAGCACGCACAATTCTTTCTGCGTCTGTTTTTCATTTTCGGCTTAGTTGGCTGATTGTTTCCGGTCTGGGTTGAAGACAAAACGGAAGTGAATTACGTTCTTCTCATTGTAATGGCCGAGTGTTTGGACTGATGCCGTCCCCAGAAGAAGAGAATGTTTCCATCACTATCCATAGCACCTTTCATTAACACCTTATTGTGTGGACGGCCATCTTTCTTTGCCTCATTCATAGGAGAAGATGATTGACCAGAAAGAAACAAATCGTGCCAAGGTACAACTCGATTATATGCGTTGAATATCGTCCTCACCCAAAATAACAGTCTGTCCGTTTTTTCTACATAACATTGTTAGATACACTGAAACACACATACACACTTATGTGTTGAATATATATATATATATATATATATATATATATATATATATATATATAAAATGTGTCAATATCTGCTAACTCACTCACGTCTTCTCCCCCCCCCTCACTTCCTCACTTCGTTAATTTACATATGTTTAATACGGCCCGTCAAAAATGTGTAAATTTTCTTTTCATTTTTTGTTTGGAAGTAAAGTCTGATGATCCGCAGTCCTTTAAAAGGGCTGTGATGAAATAATTTATTATATGGAATCTTAAAGTGATCTGTTTTTAATTATTTGCTCTGGATTTACATTAAGCTATCTGGGTTTTATCCTCCTTAGGTTTACCCATATGGATTACGTAGTTTTTCATAAACTAATATATATATATATATATATATATATATATATATAGATATATATATATAATGATTGGACAAATTACAAATGGGAAA